TGACGGATGACGGACAGAGGCAAATCTTTTCGTTGAACTCAACTCAAACAAGGGAATCGCAACAAGAAACGACACAAACACAAAATTAAATATTGTATTCGTATAAATATATATAGTGTTTTCACGAGGTATCACTGGATTGTACAATATATGTACAGTTACATACACTAAAGTATTATATCTATATGTATTTTAGTGTGATATATTTCCTTGTAAAATTTGTTTTTTCTTTACTACTTCTTTACTTCCATTCTCCTATCTTGAATCGAAGTCGATTCAAAATCTTTTGAGCGTTTGGCATGTCACCCGATTCACGTCCACACACAGTACGTGTGAGGGCGTGAATCTAGTCATACGTCAATTGCGCAACTGATTTGAATGACAATGACAAAGGAATTGCGTAACGAATTAAAAGTCCGGTTTGGTAAGAAAAAGAGAAGACGGACGACAGAGGGTGGACTGGAAGGAGAGGAATGGAAGAAGAGACTGGAAGAAAGACACGGGAAACGAAGAGCCCCCAAGCCCCCTTTTTTAGTTATTTTGAATAGGGAATAGTAATGGTGATTTATTGATTTTATTTACTAAATGTTGAAACGTCATAATTCGATGTACTTACTGTCTTGCGTAATTGAGTGTGTGTATATATCGAAAAATACCTCTTGTAAGCGAGTTTAATTCCCGAAATTATCCCCACATAGTATTCCCCAATCAGATTCCCAAAATTAACCCATTTGATAGCGAAAGTCCAAAGTACCGACGACAGACAGGTCACAATCCCATGAATATATTATATATTAGACTACAGCTGGGTTCCACAACAACGAAATCCAATCCAATTCAATTCAATTCAACTAATTAATAACTGTGGCTACAAAAACACCACAAAACAGCAATAATGACTACTACAAATAATATTATATTTAAACAGTGGCTTCAGACTGAAACACCACAATGTCTTAACTCAACAGAAATACTATACAATTATTTGTAATGCTTGCCCCTCAAAAACAGTTGCTCAATTACAATATACTTTCATACAAATACAAATCATAGGGATTCAATATAATTCCAAATATGTACGCAAACACTTTAGTTCAATTCGTGAACACAGTCAGTTCCATAAGAAATACCGTTGGCTACGGTAACGCGGAAATACACAAACGCTGAAACGGAGACGTGGAAACACGTAACTGAGACGGTGACGTCCATGCACCTTGCAATTCTCTGGCCATAGGGTTGAGGTAATCAGTCGGCGATGTTCATGCACCTTACAGTTCTTCAGCTCTTCAGTTGCAGTGGTCACTCAACGAACACACCCTTGAAGTAATTGCGGAGAACGGCATAGCACACCGTCATCATTGATAACATACGACCAAACGACCAACTTTGAAACCCATACAGTGAACCGGGACCAAATTGCCCTACATGCCACCAGAACCTCAACACACCTGCTGACTACACACGGTATTATAATAAATGTCCATGGAAGCAAGTCTTACGACCCTTGTATAGACAACGCATGTACGTCTCCCTAGCTCAATGGCAAAAGCGTTCGTCTTCACAAAATCCAAAACGAAACAACACTAAACAAAACACAACAATACGTAACAAGTACATATACGGAAAAGAAATTGACTTAGAAAGTGATCATAAGCCACTAGAAGATGTATTTTAGAAACCAATTGGCAGTGCTCCATCAAGAATTCAGAAATGTATGCTGAGATTACATAAGTACCAACACAACGTGCACTATAAACCAGACAAATGTATATACATACCAGATACACTATCCAGGGCATACGATAACAAATGTGATGCAGATGATGACTTGGAAATAGAAGCCCAAGTTCACACAGTGACACAAAGCTTATCTTTGACTCCAGACACTTAAAGAAACAGTTAGGAATGGTTGGCCTAACAGTAAGCAGGTAATTCTATACAACATTGGAGAATATTGGAGTTGCAGAGACGAGATAAGTGAGACTGATGGACTAATATATTTAAAGGTGAGAAACTAGTAATCCCTTGAAGTGAAACACTCAAGAAACTACATGAGAGTCATATGGGAGCCGAGAAGACTCTCAAACGAATCAGAGATGTAATATTTTGGCCAGGAATGTCTTCTGCAATAACTGACATGATGTCAAAGTGTAGTACATGTCTAAAGTATCGACCAAAGAACCAAAAGGACCCCTTGATACACTGTGATACAAGAGAGACCATAGCAGAAGGTAAGAACTGATTTGTTTACATTTAATGCTGAAACCACTGACTACTACTCAAAATGGGTAGAAGTACAGTTATTAAATAACAGTACTGTGTCTGCAGAGATCATAACGCAGCTGAAATCAAGCTTTGCTAAATACGGTACTCCAGAGGAAGTAGTGTCTGACAATGGACCGCAGTATACAAGCTACTAATTTCGGAAATTTTCAAATGATTGGGGATTCAAACACACAACGTCCAGTCCACGATACCCATAATCCAATGGCATGGCAGAAAAAGCAGTTGGAAAAGTAAAAGCATTACTAAAGAAAGCAATGGATACTGGAAATGATTCATACTACACTACAGGAATACATAACAACGGCAATTCCTGGTATGAAGTATTCTCCAACTCAGCTGAGAACCAAGATACCAACATCACACCACCTCCTACAACCAAAGGCTTAAATATAGACAAGCATCGCAAAAAATTTCTACGATAAGAGTGCAAAACCACTACGAAACATAAATACAGGGGACACAGTCAGAATGGAAGTCGGAAGGAATTGGGAACCTGCATTAGTGGTTGAGAGAGATAGTACACCACGTTCATATGTTGTGTCTTCGCCAAATGGACAGGCATATCGTCGAAATCGTCGTGAACTTATGAAAACAGTGGAACCACCACAGTGAAATTAATGTGCCATACCAAGACGACACCTTCTCAGAAACACCAGACTTATCGCCAACCAAGCAGTTGTCCACAGCGGCACCACCATCAAGGAAGTATATAGAACATCATATGAAAGACTTGTAAAGAAGCCAGCAAAATTCAGTAATGAATAGAATATTTTGATAGCCTAATAAACATTAAGTCACTGTGGCAGAGCAAAATAATCTCTGGGCTTGATAGATAGATAGTATAGAGGCAATAGTCTACATGTTCCCCATTTAGTGTATATTAGTTGAGTTAAATTTATAGATGTGTTGTTACTAGTTCAGTTAATTACTACATTAGGCAAGTATAATACAACACAGTAAATAATACTATTTTTAAATATCGCATACAATCGAAGTTGTTATGCAATTATGATATTATTATTGATATGCTATCGAATTTATACATAAATTCAACGATTGACTCAAAGTCCAGATGTATGAACATATCATTTAACTAAAAATGGGGGAGATGTCATAGTACTGCATGTTGAGTATGTATATTTCCTTCTATGAATATTCATGATAAACATATACCCGGATCGCTGTATTTCGCACATTGTACTTGCTTCTTGTCGTGTTGTTATTAATAAAGCAGTAACGTAAAGAAGACGGGCCCAATTTATTTGGATGAACAAAAAAGTATACAATAGAATGCAGAGTTTCATGACCACGAACCCAGTTTATTTTGTCTACGACTGGAGCTTCTGTACGCTCTACTACATCAACCCGATCAGTGCAGAAGCGGAGTAATGACTGATGGGATAGACGACTTTTCTGAAAGTCGAAGATACGCGCATGTCGTTTTGGGGGTGTAACGTAAATTTGCACGCGTGATATTGTACTTCTGAGTGTACCAATCAACGCCACAAAAATAAAAGTCCCTTCTATCGACTATCAGCAAACTGATTTGTTTTCAGCCTGACAGGAGCATTGTTGTATCCTAGTCTTGCTACTTCCGGGAAAGTCGTCTATAGAACATGGGACAAAGCAACATTGTAATATCTTTCTTCAAATCATGTGTCTTCTAGGTTGTGTCTTTGTTACGTTTGAGCTCAGTTGTCATTTAGAAATGAGAAAGTTGCATATATTTGATCACGTGCATAATATTCACATCCAAAAGTCGCCACATTGATTGTGAGTCATATGATATATGGGTGCTCACATCTCTTGAATATGGTTTCTACACAGACCTTCTTGATGTAGTAATTGACAATTTACACTAAATCCTTACATGCTGTCTTATCAACATGCCATTTTCTGTTATGCGTATACACTTTTAGGAATAGCAAATCAAGACTCACATAAATACAACAACAACTCTTGTGATCTGAACACATTGCAGCAGGACTAATGACTCACAGGAAAGACACAACTGACGACCAATCATAGCACTATAAACAAATCATCATTCTTTTATATCAGTTATTGATTTGAAATCTCATGCATTGATTTACAAAGGTTTTTGATAGCAGGGATTAGGATGTCCTCTTCGTAATATGTAAAATTGATACGAATACAATTTTTGTAACTGCCAGATGCTGAACAACTGAAATAAAAGAATGGACAATTATTACTAATAATATTCTACATATATATCCTTTTAAGAAAATGGTACTTAAAACTCACTTATTAAATATCCACATTAAGTGCCGACAGCTGAACGTATATAATCAAAAAACAATTGAGCATAACATGATTTTTCACAACTTTTGTTTTATTAAAGATTATAATTGATAAGTGTATTTCACACAGCATGTGCCAACCGACTCAATAATGCCAGACACATTAAACACAAATCACCTTGTTTTGTCTAAATACACATTTGGTCTGTTTAATATTAGCTTCAATTC